TTGCTTAAGCCTGTTAGACAGAGGTCAAGATACAATGCCAGTAAATACTCCAACCCTATTTTCTGAAGTTCTCTCTTCAGCTGCATGTTAGAAGTAGTGCTAAAGGATCTAGTGCTGGTTTTTTCCATGCACACGATGTACATGGGAATGTAAGAAACTAGTTTAATCTACAAGGTTTGAATAGCCAAAGCAAAGAGGCTCTGTGGCTCAACCAGTAGCAGTGTCTCAAAGTTGCATCACTGTTAAAACTGATAGTCTCCATCACTGTAAGTCTCTAAACCTTTAATCAATATGAAAGACCAACATGAAATGTAACAGTCTGAAATAAGTGAGAGTGTTCAAGACATGACATCTGTGTTGGGAACATGAATTTATTCAACATCTATGGCACCATTTCTTTCAACTGCTGAGAGCAGATGTCCCACATCCACCTCTCATTCAACTGAAAGTAAAATATTTAAGAGAAAAAAAATCAACAGCATTAGGTCACAACATTCTGTTTTTTACAATTAAGCACAGCAAACAGTAGTAAAGTCAGTCTGGTTTTCTCATATGTTCCTTTCCAGTTCAGTTAACACATACAGGTAGAGTTTTCACTAATGAAAAAAAAAAAAAAAAAAAAGTCATTGTTGTTCTACTTCAAGTCACATAAGCATAGAGTCCCAGACCCTCTGTCACATCTATTTATAAAATATGTATTTGCCTTTTTTTAAAATAAATCTTCAGTTAGTCCTGGCACAAGTCTTAGGATTTAAATGTCTAAATTTCTTTGCATTGCAAAAAGAAAAGTTGTCTCTCTCAAAAAACTGTTCCCCTTGTTTCATTTGCAACAAACCTTAAACATAGCAGAATCACCGAGAGGAACCAAGAACACCGGGGAACTTCACAAGCCTGTATCTCATAGACACACATTTGGCCATTCTGTGTACTTCAACAGCATCAGGATTCCTCAGGTGGGAAGGACAGAGCGACAGACCTGCTTTGGTACCTGGTGGCTACCCAGATACTTGGAACAATACATTTTAACTACGAAGATGCCTGGTAGCTAACAGCAAAGCACATCACACTTTTTACAAGCATTTCAATATTTGTTAGCATAACTTGCATCACTTTGGTGACAGGATATATAGCATGTGGATCGCAAAGGTTGTGAGGTTTAAAGGTCGTTGAGCCATACAACAGACAACAGAACCAGAGGAGTAGTTTCACTGATATAACTGCTTCTCCCATTTCTTTTTTAAATGTGAAGTGGCCTTCAAACTGAGTATAGAGTATTGTCATAAGCTCTGTCAGTGTTTGATTGGTAAGCTGAACGGTCTGCGTAAAATTCAGACTGGCTGGTACGGCAAAGTTTTAAATAATGGGAAAAGCTGATACAGGGATAAGGATAGAAAATATTAATTAGTGCCAGTCAACATGGTTCTGTGGAACATAGGCATTATGAGACAAGTTAGGTTTAAGGTATTGGGACTCATGACGCATTTGACTTTGTATCACGTAGATTTCTGTTTCAAAAAAACATAGTAAGAACAGCTCTGAGGGACTGTATCCTACAAAGGACTGATAAACTGTAATGGAAATAAGGAATTGACTTATTCTTTATTCCCTGCAATGATTCTCAGACAAAAAAGCAGCAAATGTAAAAATGGCTGTTTATGGAAGCAGAGCTGCACAGAGGAGTAAAGAAGCAAAATCACCTCTGGCACTGGCAGAAAGAGCACTGGAGGATCATATGATCATACACAGATTTTTTGCCACGTGATAAAGGGTATGTTGAAGTGCTGGAGGGGATTTAGAAAAGACCAGAAGGATTACTTATCCCTGTAGAAAATGCCTTATAGAGAAAGGTAGGCTTACAACAGCTCAATCTGTTTAGTTTATCAAAGAAACAGGAGACAGCTTGATTACAGTATGCAACTATCTTGTGGGGAAAAAGGCATAAAAGGTCAGAGAAATTGGACTAGGAAGTAGGCCATGCATATACAACAGAAAGGGCACAGCTAATTATCAAGGACTATGGTATATTCTCTCTTTATGAGGAATTTCCAGTCAAAATCATATTCCTTACAGGGGGACACACTCTGCTCAAGCAGAGAAGTTACCTGGTCCAGCGCAGCAGCAAGTTGATGAAGCTGAATGGCCTGCCGCAGCCAGACACCAGATCATCATTTGGCCTTAAGCACCATGATCAGGCCCTGCTAGTCCCTGAAACCAGGGGGAGCCCGTTCCTGCAAACACAAGGCCTCCAGTGTTATTTCCAGCAGAGACCTCTGTCACAGGATATATTAACTATTCCCTTCAGTATACCTACGAAATACTTTGAAAGCATTCTTGGAGAAGTTTAAAAAATGTATCTTCTTCTGTTTGAGCTTTACATTTTAAGGAAGAGCAGATCCTGAACTACCTGCAGGGAGTGAGATTCTGCAGTCACCTTTTAAAATCCAGGCTTATTTTAGCATTAGCATTTGGCATTACCCTGTGGTATTGCTGGGATAAACCCCTGCTCTGAGGACACCAGGACAACTGGTGTGCTTGAGCACAGGCCCAGGCAGGGGAAAATGCAACTTTAAAACCTGTGAGGTGACTTTGTAGAGAAAACCTGAGCGGATCTGTCATAGCCCTTTGCTCTACAGACCACTTTCTTGGTCATAAAGACAGGCCCCATGGCAGGGACTCTTACCTACAACGCCAGGCGGCTCTGACCCCTTCTGAAAGAGCTTGCACGTCTCTTTGTAAGGGCAGAGGATCTGCATTTGCTTGATGAGATATAGTGCAAGGAGAAACAATATTCCTGCT